TTATTTAGCATAGTTTTATCTATTGTAATAGAGGACCCAATTCAACAACAACTAGGGGATGAAGTTGATTCCGGATCAACTTCATCCCCTATATAGGCAAGCTTTTGTATTTATCGCACAATGGCGGGGCGCGCAACGCGAGGCGCGTCAAACAAGGCGCCTGTGCATCGCAAGGTGACCAAGAAGGCCGCCACCAAGAAGGCTGCCACCAAGAAGGCTACACACACGACGCTGCCGCCTGCTGCCATACCACCGCCCACGCCACCTCCCGCGGTCACGACGCCAGACGTTGGTGTCCAAGGCCGCAACGGTTTCCGAGGCCATGTCTTGTTCCGCCTGAAAAGCGCGCTCCAAGGAACGCCATCCCGCAGTGGTTATTGGAAGCTGAATCCAATAGGGAGCACGACTGGCGAGGACCTTGGAAAATGCTCGCACAACGTAGACCGCGACTTGGACACACCGAGAGCACCTCTTGTCTCGCGGTACCTCGCCCTCGCTGGCGAGGAATTACAGCAGTATGGCAACCTTCTTGGCGAACGAATGCGTGGACTTGCAGAAATTTTGCAAATCAACGGCTTAAGAGCCGTGTATATTTCGACACCTTACGTTTCCCAAGAGACTATTTGTGCAAACACATCTTTGTACAATGCGGCAGCAGTATTGTCCCAGTGCGTGCCACAGAGATGGTTTTTCCCCTCAATAAGTCGCGTGTACCATTTGCCTTGGACCATCCCTCGGCTGGCTTCGAGGTCAGTAACACTGCCGCTGTCATCCGAGTCATCCGAGTCTGACCGTGGGTAGCGCATTGAGACGGTGTTGACAACCCCATCGTTGTGCGCCCAGTGATCGCTCTCGAACCCTATCCATGCGCTTTGGTACCGCGTGTAATCAAGTAATAGCGAGCATAACCGTACCGTCGTACAATGCGTCGGCGTCGAGACCGCGTGTGAACGCGTGAAGAAGGTACGAAAGCACTGATAGGCTGTGTCCGGTGTCCGTGGCCTTTGTAGCGATACTCAGCAGATGCACCTTGTCCATGTCAATGAGCATTTCGTTCTTGCGCAGACGTGCAGCGGGTAGAATGTCGTAGAACGCTACGACGTACGATCATCATCCAGTGCAACTGCAGCAGTGCAGCATACCGAGGTCTCGGCTCGTGTACATGTCGTTCGCGCGTGAAAATACCCAGGACCATGATGGATGACGCGTCCACTGTGGCATCCCGAGGTCGTACACGGATTTGAGCCACGGCGCATAAAACTCTTGGCACTTCCAAAGCACCGTTAGCGCCGTGCCCACCACGTAGCCCGCACTGCAGTACGACAAACCCTTCTCGACGTCGCCACCAAGCAAGTTGCCCAATGTCGACCTAAGATAGACATAAACCACATCCATCGTGCGGACGAAATCGCGTACCCGGTCAACGGTCCACAGATGCTCACAATGCCCTTCACCCACTTGTGGTTCGAGCCGACGTGGAATGCGTCTTTACACAGCAACTGGTAGAGCTCGATTGCTAGACGCATATTCGGATAGTTGTTAGCATCCCATGCACGTAGCATCGAGTTGCGTGCGTACCCGTCGTGGCGCCAAGGCTGTGCCCGGTCAAGTGCACAGGGTTATGCTAGTGTCAAGGCAGAGAGCACATCAACAGAGATCAAGGGTTGGTGATGTTGAGAAACTTGAATTACCTCGCTCCAGTTGGGGTGCAATGCCATGGCTTTCGAGTACGTGGCACCAAAGCGCAAGTGACCTACGCGGGTGGGAAATTTGATGTGTAGAATGTCGCCATCGTACCGCAGGCCGCGGCGTGGGCTTCGCCGTAGTCGACGGTGCCACCAAAGAGCTGGTAAAAGGCCTCACACGCGCGGTCGTGGTCGGACGAAACCTTGCCAACGTCGACAATGATGTGGTTGGGATTCAGCTCGTCTAGAGCGCCCTTCGGCCAGTAGGACGGCAGGCTGTTGAAGAGCGGTGACGTCTTGCCCCAGCCCATAGCCCCTGGAGAGAAGGCAATGGAGCTTCGCGTTCTTTGCATAAAGAGGCATACCGTGGATGAAGACGACGGGATGCTTGGTCGCTGGCATCTTCCCTGGTTTTTGTCAAGTGATCCTGCTGATCACCCATGCTGGAGACTTCATCGGCCTTCGTTTCAGTGCCACACTTTCCCGATTTGGTCTCACATTGGGTTACAATACGCGCGACCGAGCGCACACCAGTGATAGCTGCTTCGACCATGCGCTTTTAGCTGCAAGCAGGTACTACTAGATAGTGCTAGTGCACATCGCTTGTTGGATTGTGGAGAGATTGTGTATGTACCAGCCAACTTCCTGTTGGTTGAGACACTTTGAACAAGTGTCTAGGCTGGCTAAAAATGTGCCCACTGTCCGTTGGAGCCGGCATCTGTCGCTTCAGAGGCAGGCCATGCTACGATATGTGGTGTTATAGCTTGTGCCTCTCGCATACGATTGCGCTACGTTGCCTAAAGCTCATTGCGGCAACGCCAGCCTCGGGCACTTGCGAGATCCCCGCCCAAGATCGGATTGGTGCACCTTGATTGGACAGTGAAGCGTCCAATCGTTGACGTGTGTCACGCAATCGGAAGCCGCTGGATGTTTCGATGTCCGTGATCACACCCATGCCTTGCCCATGCCTACGCTACCACGTACCCGGGGTGGTCGTACATGCCCAGATAATCACCGTTAAAGGGCAGTGATTATCACCGGTAAGGGACAGTGCCGTGTTTGTCAATGCAGTAAACTTGTTCTATACCGCAGTACACTAGTACACTGCACCGGTATCTTAGAGAAGAGGAAAGGGAGTCCCTTTCTCTTCTCCAAGATACTACCGTTGATGCGGGAGGAAACACTCATTGAGGTGGAGAGCGGCAGCGATTGCCGTTGTTTAAGATCGTTGTTGAGGATAGGTGTGGTTTGTACCATGGGGTTGTACTGCTGTCTAGGCACTGTGCATCGTGTATACGCATACTGCACGGTAGCTACCAGGTACTTCCTTCGGTGAAAGGTGCGCACGGCTGTGCCCTTTCCCGGCGGCGCCTTCATGATGGCCTTCCAGTGCTCCGTGAAGATGGATGCTATGGCGTCCGGGTCCGTCACGGTGTCGGCGCCGACCGTTGCCGACTGGATCGGGACCATCAAACTAGCCGCTCGCGCCACACCAACGAAGATTTAGCTCTACGGTATCCAGCTCGACTACAGCCCGACTACAATACATTGGTAGTTAGCTACAAAGACCAGTCGGACCTTGTGTTCCCACGCGCTAGCCCCTGCACCGATGTCATAGAATCAAACCGCACGTCTATTTCAAATTTGCACCAAAAAGCTGCCAGCTACGCCACCGTATCCGAATCATCTTCTTCCGGCACGACGTCGCTGTACTTGTTGACGAGCTTGAAGAGGTTGCAATACAGATCCCGCGCATCGGCATCCAGAAACGTGCCACAAAAGTGGTTTTTCTCGACGTGGTACGTGTACCACCGACCCTTCAGCGGCGCGCTCACGTCGTCCTGCGCCTCCAAATCGAATGAAATGTGCGACTCGGCGGGCGACCACGTCCCAACTGCTGGTGAGTCACTGCCCGAAAACGAAAGATGGCCGCCAGATCCGGGCGTATAGCTCGTCGGTACGACCGGGTGGCTCCCGGGCACAGGTGTATAGTTGCCAGGCATCGGGAGGTGGCTGCTACTCGCAGGTGTGTGGCTTGGCAGTGGCGGGTAGGCGCCGGGCACGGGCGTGAAGCGGCCGCACTTGACGCGCGGGTACACTTGCGAGTACGTGTTGACGACGCCGTCGTTGTTAGCCCAATGTCGGCTGTCAAAGCCTAGGAAGTGGTTGGCGTTCGATGGCGTATAGTTTGTCGAGAGAGATGTACCATGGAACGGCTCGTGCTTGTTCATGCGGTTCGTGAAGAGACTGAGAAACCACGTCATGCCGGAGAGGACGTGCGGGTGATCTTTGGCACACGTCACGACGCTAAAGAGATGGACCTTGTCCATCTCGATGAGCGCTTGGTTCTTCTGGAGGCGCGTCGCGGGGACAATATCATCCCACACTAATAATTGTGGTCAGGAAAATTGGAGTGCACCGAGAGATCGTACGAATGTCGCGGCTCGTAAAGAGCGAGCTGTCTGGCGAGAAGACGTCGCGCCATGACGTCATGTTGTTCCAGTGCTCCATCCTGAGATCGTACAGGGCTTTGAGCGACGGAAGGTAGCACTCCTGGAGCTTCCAGAAGAGCGCAAATGACGACCCGACGAGGTGGCCGCCGCTGAGGAGGGCAAGCTTCGAGTTGGGGCCAATCCCCAGGAGATTGCTGAGCGTCGATCTACGCGTAGACATGCGCATACGCCCGTTCACGCATAGCACGTACCCGGTGAGCGGGCCACAGATGCAAATGATGCTCTTGACCCACTTGTGACTGCTCCCAACACCGAAATGGTCCTTGCATAGCAACTGATAGAGTTCGATAGCTTCATGATGTTAGCGATCGAATGGAGGATGGATGGCAGACGACGTACAGGTCGTGGCGCCGCAACTGTGTCCGAGCAAGTGCACCGGATTTTCCTACCGCACGTACACATGAGCCTTGGACATTTTGCGCACGCGCACCTCGCCCCAGTTGGGATGCATGGCTTCGTGCGTCACACCAAAGCGTAAGTGGCCTAGTCCATCGTCACGAGTCGCGTCATGGCCGTGGGAACGGTACCACAGGTCTGGGCGTGCTCTTCGCCATAGTCGACTTGGCCACCGTAGAGCTGGTAAAAGACTTCGCAAGCTCGGTCGTAGTCGGATGAGATCGGACCGACGGCGACGACGAGGTAGTTCGGGTTGATCTCGTCGAGGTCTTGCAGCGGCCAGTATGACGGCATGGCCCCAAACAGCGGCGTCTTCTGGCCCCATCCAAAGGCGCCTACCGGTCGTGAATCGGCCGCCATCGCCTTTAGCGTCCTACATACCATGCACCAAGACGACGGGCTGCTGCGTGCGTTCCATTGCAGCCGAGTTGTGGGACGAGCATGGCTTCCATATTTTTCTCCACCATGATGGGCAAACACGTGAAATAGTGTACGATTGAAGTGCGACCTCCTGCTTACCTCCTGCTTAATCAAGGCCGACATAATTTCACACCATATTCAAACTAGTGTACGTCGAACTTTGCCGGGCCAAAGATTCGCCAGCTTCAACCAAGCCCACCAACTCGGTGCCTGACGCATCCGTGTCTCGATAGCAACCAGAGTCCTTGCGCAGAATGTTGACGCTCTTGGTCACGGCCAAGATGGCGACTAGTAGCACAATCGTACGCGAGGGTCAATCGCGTTGCGTCTTTCTCGCAGTGACTGTGCAGTTGTGCCAAGGTTTCCAACAAAGGTTTTCGTTGCTATGAGATACTCGCTCCCTGTGCTGAGGGTATAGTAGCAAAGAAAAACTTTGTTGGAAACCTTAGCGCTAGGTCGATCTTTACTGCGCCTCCATCGAAGAAGGCGCATCCTGTTTCTGATAAATGAACGCCGTCTCGTGGCCCCAACTTGTTCGTATCTTCATCTGGCCACGCCGCGTGAACGGCAAGGCGCGGCGAAGGCGCTATCGTCGTTCTTAGAGCCGCTACGAAAGCGTATTACCTTGGTGAGGGACACAAATAGACTCCCGGGCTTCATGCGGCACGCACGGTCCTCCACGGCGCGGAAGAGGTCGGTCGTAAAGCACGTGCAGTTGACAAAGACAATGTCGCCGTCGCGCCTAGGACATTCTCTGCAAATCGATTGCAAGATGAGTTTGCATACCACCACGCAGCGTGTGTGAGGATATCGCCATGCTCCAAGATCACGTTCTAGTCGAGAGATCTTGGCCGAGAATGAGGTGCACGGGGGTCGTACTGGCAGTGGCATCGCATCCAAGGCGACCCAAGAGGCTTTGACGAGCGCATGTACAAGCTCGATGCCAACGCACGTCAACTGCGGATGCAATAGCGCCTGGACATGATCCGCTGATACGGTAAAAGCGTAAAGGTTGATGGTCTACCGCAGCCAAGACGGCGCGACCCGTGCCGTGCCCGAGGTCGTAAAAGATCTACGCGCCAAGGACGACGTCACTGGTATCGGGTAGCTGCAGATCACACGCCATCGCACCTGGCCAGCCTGTGGCGCCAGCGCTTCGAGAACGCGAGCAAAGCCGAAAAAGTCCACCTCGCCGTACACGAGCGACGACGACAATGTGCACCCGCCGCCATCGTCGACCGACGTGTTGTCGTGCAGCGAGCGCGCGGCGTCGGTCGACATAGCGATCTTCTCGTACACTGCGTACCACGCCCGGAAAGCAGCGCTCACTACGACGCCATCGTGCAGGACAGAGGCGATGGTCGTCGTCGTACCGACTTCGGCGGCCACGAGGCGCAACAGAGCGGTGTCGTCGTGGCACGTCGCCAGCGCCTGTAGCCTTGGGTCTCGCCTGACAACCATCTCTGCCACACGTCTGTATGAGCCTGCGAGGGCCACGCGCCTCGGTACCTTTGAGCGCGGTGCCTTCTTGCGGCGGAAGGAGCCGCGCCGCTCGTAGCCAGCGCACCTCGGGCAGCATCCTTTCTATGGTCCGGATACGCGGCCCGTTTCCGGACATCGGCCCGCGCCCATGGTCGGCGCCACTGCGCTCGCACTGCGCGATGACCCACTACAAGCTAGGCGAAGCAGCATGCGTGGAAGAGCTGCATGCATGGGAGGAAGGTACGCATCGTCCAACTCCACTCGACGCTGACGCGGGCGTCGATCGCGCTGGCGCCATTGTGGTGGGACACGCCGGGTTTCCCACCCGCCTCGCCCGCATTCCACCACACGCATCTCACTTTGCCGCAACCATTGACAAGCATGGCGCCGTCGACAACGAAGCGCGTATCGAATGGAAGGATGGAGCTGCACGAAGCCTGCTATCGTGGTCAGTCCCGCGTGGGCACACTGCTGTCGCAAAGGAGACACCGATCGCTGCGAGAAGACGAAATCTGTAGCCGCACGACGTTGGTGTCGCATCGTCAGGTTGGATTGCACCAAATGCTTCGAGTCGGTTCGTTCATGGACGAAGCGACTTGGACGCTGTATGCAGCGCCGGCCCGTTCGATTTCCGAACTTGCAGATGTTTTCGTCGCCTGTCAGGTCGACACCGTTTTGGACCCACCCTCTCCCCATTGATCGAGGGGCTCCCGACGGCAGGATCGCGATATGGATGGTTGTGCAGCATTTCTATTTCTTGTCTGTAGTAGCTAGTCGTCGCGATAGTCAGTAGGAAGATCCTCTCATTCCTACTACTGCCCTTCTAAAAGCGACCAAGTTGACGCCACGGGGCTCTCAGGCTCATCGCTTCGACTCCATCATCTTCCATACAGCATCGTTTGTGTAGGTCCTCCTGGGGTCCACGGCAGAGGCTTCTTGAAGTTGGTCGTGACTAATACGCGCTCGTAATGCCACGCTTCTCCGTCCAGTTCGATAAAAGCGTAGCTTTTCCCACAGTCTTGGGGTGCATCGTATTTTAATCCATGTCAATACAATCTTTAAGTGTTGAAATAAAAGGCGTCGCCACCCGGTGCGAGCACTCACATCGCGCCTGCCATGAACAGGCGCCACAACCAAAGCCAACTGCAGCAGGACGAGCGCCATGGCAGTACAGGACAGCATCATCACGATCACGCCCGGAAACACGTCGGCGGCCAACGACATTGTCGAGTGGCGTGAAACCGAATTCGTCGGGCGCCCCACGGACGACAAGGACTCGGAAGAGTACGAGGAAGCGCTCCAGCGCAAGCGCCGCAACCGCATCCTCGCCATCTTCGCCGCCGGCCTTCTCGTCGTTGGCGTCGCCATCGGTGTCATCATCGCCAGCTCTGGCGGCGGAGAGGGTGCGAGCGTAGCCTCGGGTCTTGATACGTCGACGCCCGTGGCCACGACGCTGGCGCCGGCCGAGGTGACGGTCGGAGGCACCGCGCCTGGCGCCGGCCCAGATCTCATCTCCATGACACCATTCCCAACGAACGCTACCGCTCCTGAGGCGACGAACGCCACGACGCCTGTCCCTACGACGGCCTCCACCGGCAAGCTTGAATCCGAAGATGTGACGCCGGCTCCGACGACAACCGAGGCGCCAACCCCGGCCCGACCCCGGCCCCCACACCTGCGCCAACACCCGCCCCGACGCCTGCGCCGACCCAAGCCCCGGCGCCCGCGCCGATCGCCGCCAGCGTCTACCGCATCAAGAACGGCTGCAACAAGCCGCTGGACCTGTGGTGGCGTACGCAGCCGTACAAGGACCACAACACGCAGCTTGCTGCGGTGCTCACAAAGACTTCGGTGTTGGTGACTTTGGCGCTGGCAACGTCATGTTCAAGAGCGGAGCTGGCCAGGACGCGACGCTCTTTGAAGGCAAGCTCGCCGGCGGCAAGGTGTGGTACGACATTTCGACGATCCCGGACGACTGCGGCGCGTCGTGGGACTTCTGCACTGGCAAGGGCAAGGGTTTCAACGTTGGTATGACGGTCGAAGTTGTCAACCCAAGCGGTGGCCCTAGCTGCAAGAACCTCAGTTGCATGTACAAGGGCTGTGCCGATGCGTACCAAGTGCCCAACGACAAGCAGACATGGGTCTGCAGCGCGTCGTCGTCGTACATCATTACCATTTTTTGCTAAGCAGCAACCTCAACCCTCGCTGTGTTCTCCCCGTGGTACGCGCAATACTAGTACCATGTTACTGGTAGTTAAATACTTTTTGATACCGAGTGTCATTTCGACAGAAAAAAATGATTTTGTCGTTTGGATGAGCAAATACATTACGAGTTCTGTCGTGCACCAAGCACAACCCTTGGAGTACAAACCGATGGAAAAAGAGATAGATTAGTTGTGACGCACCGATCGGCACTTCAAAGACACTTGTCAACGCGCAGTGGTCTTTAGGCGTCGAGCCGAGCACCGAGCCCGGGAAATACTTAATTACGTTGCTCGTCTGGTTGCATGTTTTTTGTTTTGAATCAAATCGCAACAAGGATAAGATAAAGAGGTTGTTGCCCTCGGCGCGCACCTTCCACCAGAAAACCTAAACCTACCCTAGCCCCACACAAACACACACGCTTTATGGGTCGGTTCGACCACGCAAAGGCTCATGCCGTCTATTGCTGCTGTACAGAGGCTGGCAACAGCATCGTTACTATTGGTAAAAATACCGTTTGCTTCATGTATTACTTGGACTAGTAGCCCTTGATGCCCCGAGTCGTACCTGTTTATTCAAGGCTCAGTCACTCGATGTATGATAAATCGCATCACACTACAGAGCTACAGGATGCCACTGCCGGTACCTATTGCGCTGTGTAATACTGTACTATTACCGGTGGGTAGTAAACTAGGCTCGCGTGGGTTGAAAGCGCAGCCTCGGTCACGTCGGATACAGCCACTTTTTCTGTAAATGGGCTCATTGACAACACCAGTCCCGACGGAAATGCGGATGCTATTGCCGAGGGCACCACTACCACTATGCTGTGAATAAGTGTAGATCATCTGCCAGCGACTGATATGTCTTGGAGATCGTCACTGCTTCATGCTCTGGGAAAATTTCTGTCGATGCTATGTTGTCGTCGTGAAAGGTCTCTCGACATTCAACGCTTGCGATATACTACCGTAGTATCTCCATCCATCCGACGTACTAGTATTGCGTTTAGCCACAATTCAAGGGAAACACACGGGGTCCTGCCTCGCTTGCAGTGACGCTTTGAGAGTAGAAAAACGCCGACCTGTGGGTCCCCCCTCGCCGGCAACCGATCCCCCGCCATGCGCCGCAGAACCTGCATGAACCCTGGGCTCTGGAAAGCCCGGTACCAAAACACATCCATGACGTCGCTGTGAATCTGGTCGCCGTACCGGCACCCATGTGCGTGCTGCTTGACCTCTACAAGCATCGTGCATAGCAGTCCCATCTACGGTACGGTGGCAGCGTTGTCAAGAATTCCCTACGTGATGAACGACGTTGTTTATGACATGTAAATAACGCGTCAAGATCGCAGCAGTGTGACACGGCCATGCGTAATGGCACCGCTCACATACTATTTTAATTAGTTCCTCAAATACTATTTACAAATACGAATATAAGGTACCAATATAATACCATAGATCTTTCGTGAGAGCACACATAGAGAGCGCGCAAAAGAGAGTAATGGGCGAAGTGCAAGCCGCGCGTAATATCGTCGGCAGGACGGCGCTGCATTTCCGAAATTACTTCAACTGACCAACGATGGCAGTACACGACGCGGACACCGTCGTCACCATCACGCCCATGAGCGGCACGCCTGCCACCAACGAGATCCGCGAGACGAGCTTCCTCGGGCGCGCCACGGACGACAAGGACTCGGACGACTTTGTCGAATCCATGCAGCGCCAGCGTCGCAACCGCGTGCTTGCTATCTTCGCCGCTGCGCTGCTTGTCGTCGGCGTTGCTATTGGTGTCATTGTTGCCATGTCCAACGGCTCGTCCGAGGCCAGTCAACGCTCGGCGCTCACGACGCCGGCGCCGACGGCCGTCGCACCCAACGCGTCCGAGGTCATGGTCCGCGGCGGAGGCAGCGACAACACGTTGCCGCCGTCGATCACACCGATCCCGACGACGACCGACAACGCAACCGCGATTGTGACTGAGCCGCCGACCACGACGACGCCCTCGCTCTCCAACACGACGGCCTCGCTCGAGTCGGAAACTGTGGCGCCGACACCCAGCCCTACCCCTGTGCCGACGCCTGACCCGACGCCTGCTCCCACACCTGCTCCAACGCCTGCCCCTACACCTGCCCCTACACAAGCCCCGACGCCAGCGCCCGTTGCAGCCAGCGTTTACCGCATCCAGAATGGCTGCAACCAGCCGCTGGACCTGTGGTGGCGCACGCAGCCGTACAAGGACCACAACACGCAGATCGCCGGCGGCAGCTTCAAGGATTTTGGCATCAACGACTTCGTCGGAAACGTCATGTTTAAGAGCGGTCCAGGCCAAGACGCGACGCTCTTCGAGAGCTTTTTGGATCCAGCAACGGGCAAGGTCAACTACGACATCTCGGCGATCCCGAACGACTGCGGGCCGTACTGGGACCATTGCATCGGCAAGAACAAGGGCTTCAACGTTGGCATGACGGTCGAGGTCGTCAACCCAACCGGCGGCAGCAACTGCAAGAACCTCTACTGCAAGCAATTTGGCTGCGCCGATGCCTACCGCGTCCCTGACGACAAGCAGACGTGGGTCTGTGGCGTGTCCACGTCGTATATTGTCACCATCTACTGCTAAGACTCTAGATCGTGCAACTAGAAGTAGATGCAGAAATCTCGACGCCATCGCTGCGATCCAAAGTGTCTTTATAAATTGATTGGCTCGACATGAGTATGACAATCCTGGCTACGTTGTCAATCGGCAACGCCTAGGACACGGCTCCAGGGCCTCTACGAGAGCCGAGACCTCTTCGAGAACCGAGACCTAACCCCGATCCAAGACTCACATCTCTTGGTGTCAATTCTGCGGCTCCTGAGTGGTATTGATTCACACTACACTACCAGCAATAGGACTAGCGACCAAGTCATAGAAGGAGTGATCCGTTTTGGAGCGACACGTTTCTTGGTGCACGTGTGGCCAGGGCACAGCGAGAGGCGAAGTGTCATATACATCCTCTTCGTTTTCGCACACAGTTACACCAAGACAACATTTCTAGCATGCATTACCAGTGAAGCCGAAATATCGTGGTAGATATTACTGACAGTCGCAAAGCAGCTGCAACTACAACAAGCCCATGTACTAGTAGCTATACTAGTATATTACTAGTAAAGTAGACGCTGGCATGCCTCTAGGCCGTCGAACAAACGCGACCTGGCACAGACCAAGCCATGAGCCGCCAGCCGACTTTACTTGAATCATCAGCGTACCGGTGTATTTTCAAAGATTACCGGAAACCTGAGAGAAAACGGTGGTGTGCCCGTAAGTATACCGGTACCTTCGTGATCCGACATTTGACGCTTCCTTTCGCAGCCCTTCGAACGGTAAATTAAATTTACCTGCCACATGGACAAAATGTATATACACTGCCAATGGAGAAAAATTTCTAGCTACACCACAGTGCCCGCAAGAAGATGTATCGCGCGAGTCCATTCATCTCCTGCTATCACCGTGCCATCCAAATCCCTTCGATCGCCACCGCTGGCTCTTCCGTGGTCGCACGTCAGTGTGGATTCTTAAAAACCAGATGTGTTGGCTTCGAACTTCGATTGACGGCGGTGCCTGCGGTAAAGGCATCGCAAATCCAGCGCAGTCGTGTTCGTTGGGTTGTTGGAGGGCGGCACGATGGGCCACACGACACACGCATCAAATTACGAGTAGCACATTGCAAGCACCAATGCCGACAGGACTGGATTGGTCGTGCAGAAGAGGACGCATTGAAGCATGGACCCATTTCATTACATTACATCATGCACCGCCGCACGTCTCTGCAGCTCACTCTGGAACACTGGCCTCCTCGCCCACTGCAAGATCTCATGGAGCGCATGCGACTGTTCGTACAATAAAAATGTACCTGCCAGAAAAGCTGCTGGGCGACGAGTGGCGAAGAAGGGGAAAGAACCTCGTCGTTCGGTACTAGGTTATTCTACAATATGTTTAGGGCAAAACAAAGTGCATTGAAGCTTTTTCTAGCGACGGCTACTCGATGGGATTTTAATGGTATTGTACAGCATTCGAGGTTGCACCACAGAAGGACCCATGTGCGAACTTCGATGTAGAGCCACAGTTGAGAAATCAAGTATCCACGACTGCCTGTAATGGGATTTCGCAGAGTTTGTATCGCTCTGGAATTATCCCATACCTTGGCTGGGACAAATACCCCTAGGGACCTAATCATTTGTAAAAAGACTCAATTTTGTATGCTATGAGGTAAGGGCCCTCAAAATCGAGATGGTGAGAAACTGGTGTAAAAGGGCCTGCCAGCACAGCTGGTGAGCTCAGCAGGTGGAGTAACTCGATGCCCACGCTTCGTCGCTTATCCCTCATTCTTCGACATCCACGCTCCTCATCATGCCCGTCCAAGACAGCATCATGACCATCTCGCCTGGCCACACGACGGCGGCCAACGGTGGCGACGTCGTCGCGTGGCGTGAGACGTTCGGCCACCCCACGGACCTCAAGGACGATGACGAGTACGAAGAGAACTTCCAGCGCAAGCGCCGCAACCGCATCATTGGCATCTCGGCCGCCGCCTTGCTCGTCGTCGGCGTGGCTGTCGCCGTCATTTGCACGCAGTCTGGTGGTACCGACGCAAGTGTGAGCTCGGGCAACAACGCACCGGGAGGCAAGTCTTCGACGCCTGTGCCGTCGTCGTCCAGCGCTGCGGCTACGTCCGGCGAAGTCTCGGTTGGCAACACAGGAGTCGGCGATGCCACGATTCCTGTCGCTACGACATTCACCCACATCTCGATTGTCGATGATAACTCGACGACCACCAACATTACAGAAACTGTGACGACGGAGCCCACCACCGTAACGCCAGAACCCACAACTGCGCAGCCGACGACCGAAGCGGCTTCGCACCTCGAAGAGGCCACCTTGGCCCCGAAACCCGCTCCTACGCCTGCCCCGACGCCGGCTCCTACGCCTGCCCCGACGCCAGCTCCCACACCTGCCCCGACGCCTGCCCCGACGCCTGCCCCGACGCCAGCTCCCACGCCGGCTCCTACGCCGGCCCCGACGCCAGCCCCGACGCCTGCACCGACCCCAGCCCCAAAGCCTGCCCCGACCCAAGCGCCCTCGCCACCGAGCCCCGCAGCAATCGGGTCGGGTGTTTACCGCATCAAGAACGGCTGCGACAAGCCTCTCGACCTGTGGTGGCGTACGCAGCCGTACAAGGACCACAACGCGCAAATCGGCGGCGGCGGCACCAAGGACTTTGGCGTTGCCGACTTTGGCGCTGGCAACGTCATGTTCAAGAGCGGAGCTGGCCAGGACGCGACGCTCTTTGAAGGCAAGCTCGCTGGCGGCAAGGTGTGGTACGACATTTCGACGATCCCGGACGATTGCGGCGCGTCGTGGGACTTTTGCACTGGCAAGGGCAAGGGTTTCAACGTTGGTATGAAGGTCGAGGTCGTCAACCCCAAGGGCGGCCCAAGCTGCAAGAACCTCACGTGCATGCAAAAGGGTTGCGCTGATGCGTACCAAGTGCCCAACGACAAGCAGACGTGGGTCTGCGACCAGTCGTCCTCGTACATTATCACGATCTACTGCTAAAGTACCAATAGTACAGCAATACACACCGACTTGTACCTCTACCGCGGTTGCGAATAAAGGCCGTCCAGACAGACCTGTCGCTGCCGGACTTGCCGCCTCTCCATCGACGCGGCTTGGAAAGACGGGCGGATCGCTGTTGGCGCTGCAAAGGCAAGACGGGCCAGAGCTTGCTCGACCAGGCGTGTCGATGCGACGGCGTTCACGTCATTTGCGTATCCAAGTCATTGGCTACTCCAAGACACGTGACGGCACGTTGGTCACATTCGGCCGAACGCATCCGGTGCGTACGCATGCGCTTCGATATTTTCCATGCCACTGGTCGCTCCAGACCAGCTCCAGACTCCAGACTCTTTGTATTCATTCGCGGTCTTGTCTCTCATCGTCGTCGTCAATAAGAGCGGTGGCTGTGCACGAACGAGATGGCGTGACGAGATCGGTGCCATGTGGGCGCCAACTTCAATGCCCATCGTCCTGCTCGTACGTACTCAGTTCGAAATGGGCGCGCTCAGTGTCGGCGGCGTCACGAGCCCTCCACGGGGTCTATCTGTAGTACCTTATTTAACCTTATTTAATAGATTGGCGCTCGTTGTCTCGATCGTAAGAAGACGCGAGCCATGAAGCGCGGCCGCGATTGGTCAATCCCACTGCCCAAGGAAGCTACCCTCTGCCGGGCGCCAATCACGTGCGAGTCGCCGAACGCGGTCGCGAGTGGCGCCAGCAGAGTCGCATTTGCGATCATCATCGGCATGCACGTTCCCAAGTGGCAGCGCCGCTTGTACGCTGCGCTCGGGACCTCCGTCCTCGTCTTCGTCGTCGCCGCGCTCCTCGTCTTCCTCACGAGTACGTCCAGCGGTGCTGGCCACATTGACGCCTCCGCGCCTGGCGCTGTACGTTTCCTCGGGTCCAGATCGATACCAATGAACGCAAACTAGGTGCCATCTCCAACGACAGCCGCGCCAGTGGCCTCTGTGCAAGGCACGATCGTCGAGCCCAGCGTGGTGCCGACGCCCGCGCCGACGACACCGACACCGACACCGACACCGACACCGACACCGACGCCAAGCACGAGTCGCGCCGAAGCGCGGACGGCGCAGCCGCCGGGAACGTACCGCTTCATCAACTACTGCAACGGCACGGCGCAGAACGCGCTGTACTGGCGCTGGCTCAATGTGCCCGACCACGTAGCGCCGCTACCGTACGGCGCATCGATCGATTTCAAGTTTTCGGACTTTGGGACGTCGGCGATGGCCCGTCTCGGCGCGTCCGTCGACGCCACGTGTACGTCCTCCGTGACTTGATCTACGCCTCGTCGCTCATGATAACTGTCTAGTGTTTGAGTTCAACTGGGATGGAGCCCGCGTCTGGTACGACCTTAGTGTGGTGCCCGTTGCTTGTGGGTCGAGCTGGGACCGGTGCGCTCCCGGGACGCACTCGTCTTTCAATGTCCCCGTGAGCGTCGAGGTTTTTGGTGTCGTCGAGCCATCGTGTGTGAGCGCCTACTGTGCGAACGCGACGTGTCCAAACATCTATCAAGTGCCCAACAGCCACAAGACGCACGACTGCGGCCCCCTGACACGATTTGTTGTTACGTTTTGTTATGTGTAAACTGCGTTGTGAACTGTTGAGGGGGTATTATAAAGGTGGTTGGTAACACGACGAGCTCAATGTTTCATGCGGTACTGTACGTCGCCGCCTCGTGCTTTGGAGCGACACAAAAAGAAGATGTTGCAACGCAGACCAGGGTATGGCATTGGGTAGCACCAGCAGCAACACAGACTGGGTCTCGGAAGTATGAGGTGCGGCAATGTAGTCGAATAAGCGCGTCACACTCGAGCACCAATGTATTTTCATCAGTCTCTTCCTCAAGCAAGACCGAACTACTTGGAGGCAACAACCGTGGAGGTGTCCACCATGCTAGTGGTGGGCGAGGCGAGTATGCTATTGACTGACAGTACCAATTTGGAAATGGCTTATGCACGCTTGCTCTGCGCCTTGGATCTATGATCCAAGGCTCTGTGCCTCTAGATCTTGGTTTACTGGATCGATCGGCCTTGCGCGGCAAACTTCTTCGACTTCTGGAAACGGCCCCATCCGCTCGACCTTGACCAGGGATCGAGGCTAACATGAGAGCCGCCCATCCCGCGTGCTAGCTACACATTGGCTTAGTACGGAGTTATCTCTTACATGTTTAATTGTGGCGAGCTAGCACTTGTCATCAACAAGGTTTGGGTATGAACAACTCAGCCTTGTCAAATCGACGCAGCCAGCACGGTTTGGTGCATGTCTGTAGTAGTGTCTATTCCCGGAGAATACCGGTAGATGATGGCTATCACATCTACAAGCCTGCAGACAGTCACTGGAATGCTGAGCGAGCGTGGCGCAAGTTGAGCACATCGATTAACAGTAAGTCTGAAATTTTCTTTGGTTTGGAGTCGCCGCGACGCCGTCGCGCCGCATAGTCGCGCCGCAGCACCACGGTATTGTGGCATTGGCGTTTCTGTAGTGTCCTCGCAGCTGTGAATGCGTTTCTTAGCCCCGCTAAGCTTAGGGTGACTGCTTGTGACTGAAACCAGTACCACGCCGACATCTGCTCACACGCTTTCACTTCTGCACAATTCCCATCTTTTGCACAATCTACTGCGAAGACGTCGACGGCAAAGTGAGAGTATGATAGTATCGTTAGGTCTTGTCCATTGTATCGAGAATGGGCCGCGAAAGTGTACTAGTACCCCAGTGAGGGGTGCAACCACACCCACATCAAAGCGAGAAGATTCCCAACGTTGTGGTCTGACGCAATAAAATAGGTGCACATAATAAAATAATACAAAAAGGCCCCAACCGGTGATCGAAACCGGGACCTCCTGCACCCAAAGCAGGAATCATACCACTAGACCATTAGGGCTTTCATGCACTACGTACTTTTTGCAACTCAGCAAGTTTCTATTTTTGATTTTTTAGAGTTACAGAGTCGCTTATTTCATGCTCATGCATATTGCAACCTGCAATACCGGTATGCATTAGCTTGAAAATGCCCGTATGTGATGACCTTCCACCTGAAGGGTCGTATTTACATGTGTACACAGATTCATTAGATTATTAATTTTGACAGGTGGCATGCTAACACATTCTACACGACAATTTTCTCGTGAAAAAGAGCAAACGGAGCGGTGTGTTCACACGGCGTCATTGGCACCGTCTCAACACTCAACTTTTGAACGACGGCGGCCTGATTGTGGAACTGGCCGTCATGGACGGCCGTGCCCACAAAGAGTACAAGCATTCCAACGAGCTGGAGGTAGCTCCAGTGCGTCCACACCTCACCAAATGCACCGTGAGTGATGGCATGGTACAAGACGAGGTTCACGGCCCACACGCCACCTGTTCGAAAGTTGTTCATGATCGAGACCCAGAGCGCATCGAGCTGAAAGAGCACGAGCATGCGAAAGATGTTCATGAGCAAAAGCGCGACGAGCTGCGCAAGGACGAGCCACTGGATCGATCTCGACGTCGCGAGCACTTGGAAGGTGGCATCAAGGCGCTCGTAGGACCCGGCGTCGTCGCCCGGCACGAGGTACGCGATCGGGTACGCCAGAAACGTCGTGAAGACGAGCCCCCACGCGCCTTGTACGCCGACGAGTGCCATTGGCGGCAGGGCCACGCTCGGGTCAGAAAGCAAATACTCTTCAACGACGCTGTGCATGGCGCTGACGACACAGCTCAAAAACGAGAAACCGACGCCGAGGAGCGGGTTGGCCGACGCTGCAGAGTGGTCTGCACCGAGGATGCTCGACGTGCCGACGAGGCAAGCGGCCATCATGTTGAGGCAAACCCCGAGCCATTCGTACGTGTGGATGGTGTGGCGGAGAAAGATCCGCTTGAAGAGCGCGACAAACGCGATTTGGCTGCCAATGATCATCGTATCGACGCTCGGCGAGATGTAAAGGAGCGCGAGATACCCGAAAAACATCTCCACGAGCGCAAAAAGAGAGGGGATCGCTGCGAGGAGGAAGCCACGGCGCGTCAAAACTCGACCTACATGTTGAATGTACTATGAGATTTCTGGCTTTTCGTCAGGATGGATGATTCTTACCGTTGCGGAAGAGGACGTGCAGCGGAAACGCCAGGACCATGCTCAAAAACATGAGCCAGACGCAAAAGAGGGGCCGCTCAAAGACAAACGTGCGGTCGTCGACTGTTACGTGGACCTCGTACATGGCCTTGACCAAGCTAGAAAAGAGACCATGAGATGTCCACTCGCAGTAGTTGCGAGTCATACATGATGGCGGGAATCGACGTGATGACGCCGAGCGTAAAGACGATTGCGCTTTGCTTGCCGCAGGACATGGTTGATCGTCTTTGGGTGGTGGCGAGCAAAAGAGAAAATGATCAAGTTGTGAATGAATGACGTCGCGGTGACGACAACGTCGCGCGCGATCATGGCCGCACACGGTCAGCTCACCGCCACATGGTGGTGGCGCGCCTTTTGTGGACCGTGCGGCTTAGACGACAGTGCCAGATGGCGTTGCGCAGTTGAAGCCGCTGATTGTCTATAATATTGTTGCTGGTGAGGTCGGTGATGTGGTATGCGAGTGGCCAACGGCATGATGCCAAAACGTACCCCAGGTGGTGCACGTGTGGATTCCAAAGCCAGTCGCTGGAACAAGTGGACCATTCATCGTGGCACCGTACCAGCGACGAAGCGATGGTTCACTTTGCGATTGGCTATACCGTGGCGAGCGGTCATGGATGGTCGATGGCGTCTACAAGTGTGCGACGTTCCCGAGCCTCGGTGCGACCCGTTACTGCGAACCTTCCTTCTTGTAAACGCAGAATGAAGCCGCCAAGATCAGCGATCCGTACGCACGGTACTATGTACGAATACGAATCTCGCGAGCTTTCGTCGTACCAGCCAACCGCCATGTACATTCCTAACCGCAAGCTCAGTTGATGTGCGTCGTTTACAATTCTGGGACTTTTAGTCTCGGGATTGCATGCAAAAACGTTTGCGCGGTGGTGATGGATTTGCAATCCAGCGAAGCCGCCTCGGGAGATGGCGCGGATGGGACTTTCTGGCCGAGATAGTATTGTATCCAGCTCCATTAGGAAGATTTCCGAGTAACTTGCGAGACGGGCAACAGCGGCTATTGCTGGCGTCGCTTTCGAGACTGCAAAGTCTGCTGTGATCAACGTATTTTCCTTTTGTAGTTGGATAGCGGCACAGTGCTGCATGGACGAGTCGCGCTGCAGCGTGCAGATGGCTCGCTTTTGCTCGGCAGCCGCATTGCTCGGCAGCCAGTATCTGCTTATGGTGGCTGCGCTCGTACGCGTATGGCTTGAACTCGTCACGACTGCGCTTGGCCACAGTCGAGCCCATCCAGAAAGGACTCATTGGCGTGGTTTGACGGCGTCGACAATCTCCAACCTAATGGTACATTGTGGCGCGTGGGCACGAGTCTGTGGTCGGGCTGAAGCACACCGGTATCGATGCCATCAAATGCACAAACATGTTGCAGAAGGGTTAGTCGAGGGACATGACAGCTGCCAAGGGCCGGCCGCAGGCGTGTCTTGTGCTACCAAGTTGCACGCCAAGCCACGTTTGAGTGGTACCGATCCCTCTAGCCTCAAGTCCGTCGCTGTCGCGTTCTGTGCGTCTCTTTCGCCGGCTGTCGACGACGTTGGAGCCATTGCTCGAGATTTTTGAGGACAGCGAAAGATACCGTACCCCGTCACGCGCCAGGACCAACCTCAAACGGGTTATATTATTATTGTGGAAATCCTTGGAAATAAATCGGCGACCATAGAATTACAGCGCCGTGCTGCGTATTTTATTCACAAAAACGCACTAAGGGTCGATTCAGAGTAACTCTCGGCAGCGGCTTTTTGAAAAAAACGAAATCTCGGCCAATCAGAAGCCGTTCCAGCGATTCTAAAATTTTCGTTTTGGGGCGTTTTGGCGCATTTCAGCGCGTTTTGGGGTCCTCGGAGTCGCTGCAGCACAAATGTTGCAAGTCAGAGTAAAATTAATGCATGGATTTGATTGGCTAGCTTGTCGACGAGCATTCATTGGTGAGCATCACTTGCTCCACGACGCCTCATCATGCCGCGGTCAGACTGAGCCGCCGTCGTGCTCGCTGTCGCTGCCGTCAAACCAGGTAGGTGCACTGCACTCTGCAAGCGTAGCGCCACGAGCTGGACAAGCGCATCTCTGATGTGCAT